GACAGTTTGAACTCGGTTCATTGCATATACAGAAAAACAGTTCAACAAATCTGTTAAAATAGTTCATAATGATAACGGTACAGAATTCATGTGTATGTCACAATTTTTTCAAGACAAAGGCATTGTTCATCAGACTTCCTGTATTGGGACACCTCAGCAAAATGGGAGAGTTGAAAGAAAGCATAGACACATTCTTAATGTTTCTCTAGCCATCATGTTTCAAGCTAACTTACCCATCAAGTTTTGGGGAGAAGCTGTATTAACGGCTGCATACTTGATAAATCGCACACCAAATGCGATTCATCAAGGATGGTCATCTTTTGAGATACTTCATGGTGTTAACCCGATTATTCTCAGTTAAGAGTTTTCGGTTCTGAGTGTTATATCCATCATGACAATCATGATAAAGACAAGTTTAGTGAGCGCAGTCCTCGTTGTGTGTTTGTCGGTTATCCTTTTGGTAAGAAAGGATGTAAAGTTTATGACATGGAGCGCAATGAATTCTTGGTTTCCCATTAATCTTTAGGGAAACTGTTTTCTCGTTTGGCTCACCAAAGGCTGTGAAGCCTGGACCGTCGAATCCTGCTGTGCCATGTGATGAAGATTGGCTGATTGCGCCAGACGTAAGGGGGAGCAGTGATCTCCCTGTTCCACATGTCCCTACATTAGACGTAAAGGGGAGCAGTGATCTCCTTGTTCCACATGTCCTTGCCATAGATGTGAGGGGGAGCAGTGATCTCCCTGTTCCACCTGTCCCTGCCATAGCGTAAGGGGGAGCAGTGATCTCTCTGGTCCACCTGAGCCTCAAATCGAACCTACTACTGGGCTGGACATTACTCTTGAAACAGAGCCATCTGTACCAGAAACAGTGATGTCACTGTCTGTTTCCCCTGTTCCAGAGAATCTGTCTCCTACGGAGGCTTCTCCTCCTGCTGAATTACTCGTCGTGGACATCGTGAGAAGACACGATCAGTTTTGTTGAAGAACTTTGTCACATACAATGCCACAAGTAACCCCATTACTACTCACGCTCTTCCCGACTCCTCTTCTCATCAGGCCTCGTCATTGGTCCAAGGTAAAATACTTTATCCCTTGTCTGAGTTTGTTACAGATTCTCAATTTTCTCCAGGTCACCGTGATTATTTAGCAGCCATTGCTACTTCGGTCGAGCCAAAACACTTTAAGGAGGCCGTCAAAATCAAAGTTTGGGATGATGCTATGTCATCGGAAATTGTTGCTCTTGAGGATCTTCATACTTGGGATATTACTGACTTACCTCCAAATAAAGAGGCCATCGGAAGTCAATGGGTTTTCAAGATAAAGTATAACGCCGATGGAACAGTAGAGAGATATAAAGCTCGCCCTGTAGTTCAAGGTAATAATCAGGTTGAAGGAGAAGACTATGAAGACACATTTGCCCCTGTTGTTAAAATGACAACTGTCCGTACTATTCTTCGTATTATTGCCGCGAAAAACTGGGAAGTCTACCAGATGGATGTCCATAATGCCTTTCTTCATGGAGATCTTGATGAAGAAGTATACATGAAACTTCCACCAGGATTTCGTTATAAACATCCTGGAAAAGTCTGTCGTCTTCGGAAGTCTTTGTATGGTCTTAAGCAGGCTCCCAGTGTTGGTTTAAGAAGCTCTCTGATGCACTGCTTAAGTTTGGTTTTGTTCAAGCTTATGATGATTATTCCTTATTTTCTTATACTCGTGAGGGTATGGAGATTTGGGTCTTGGTATACGTCGATGACCTTCTCATTTGTGGAAATGATTCTTACATGCTTCAGAAATTCAAAGATTACTTGAGTCGATGCTTTAAAATGAAGGACTTGGGTCACTTAAAGTATTTTCTTGGTATTGAAGTAAGCCATGGTACTGAAAGAATTTTTCTTTCTCAACGTAAGTAAGCCCTAGATATCATCGCTGAAACGGGTAATCTCGGCTGTAAGCCAGCTCCGACACCTCTTGAGCAGAATCATCATCTAGCAACGGTTGACAGTCCTCTTCTTGATGATCCTACTAAATACTGCAGGCTTGTTGGCCGTCTCATTTATCTCCTCAACACATGGCCTGAGTTGTGCTACTCTGTTCACATTTTATCGCAATTTATGCAAACTCCTAAGGTTACTCATTGACATGCTGCATTACGTGTGGTTCGGTTTCTCAAAGGTACTCCGGACCATGGCATTTTCCTCAAGTCCAGTTCCGACTTATCTTTAACCATTTAGTGTGACGCCGATTAGTCTTCTTGCCCTTTGACACGGAGGTCTCTTACTGTGTTTGTTGTTATGCTTGGTGGTTCACCAATTTCTTGGAAAACTAAGAAACAAAAGACTGTTTCTCACTCTTCAACTGAAGCAGAGTATCAGTCCATGGCAGCTGGTCTTCGAGAGGTTAAATGGCTGCGTAGTTTGTTGAAAGAACTTGGTATTGATCAAATTGCTCCAGCACGCTTCTTCTGTGATAGTAAAGCTGCCATACACATTGCTGGTAATCCAGTTTTTCATGAGCTTACAAAGCACATTGAGAATGATTGTCATGCTGTTCGAGACGCTGTCACTGATGGTATCATTGTTACAGAGCATATTCGAACAGGCTCTCAGATTGCCGATGTTTTAACAAAGGCTCTTGGACGTTTCAATTTCAAAACTTAGTGTCCAAGCTGGGTGTTCAAGAACTTCACCCTCCACCTTGAGGGGGAGTATTGGCGGGATTCACGGGTTGTTAGGATTTGTTAATATTTCTTTTATATTTAAGTTAATCTTCATATTGTGTTTGGGAAGTTTGGCCAACTTAGCTGTGTATATAAAATCGTAAACTTAATAAAGCAAGGCAGTTAAATATCAAGTTCTACATATCCCACAATTTTTCTGCTTCCATCCGGTAAGTCTCGGTCGTAATTCTCGGAACTGGAACGCAAAACGACCTCCCTGCAATACAAAGCAGTCCTACAACAGTCTTGTTGTTTTCCCAACTAGGCAATAACCAGAGTTGTACGAGTGTTGACGTTAAACCACTGAAAGATGATAATATGGCCATTAGGTAGCATATAGATGGTGTTTTTGGACAATTTACTCCATCTATTATTATTGTTTCTTCTCTCATGATTGATGTTAACTGGTTTGTATGGTTTTTTTTTTTTTTTTGTAGGTGAATGATTGGGATAACTGTACTAAACAGCCTCTCTAGTCATGGATTTATATAGAAATATCGACATTAGTAATTCCTAATATCATTCGGGAATATATGAAGAAGGTTCCATATGATTTCCTAACTCGATATGTGTCGCAGTCGCTATCGCTGAGTTCTTATTAGAGCAGGTCCAATGCAGGGTTTAAAGAGGTTCATCAGCTGGGTTCATAACCCATTAATGATTTAAAAAATAGGTGAAGCCCATTATTGTGATAAACCGCCCCTTCAGGACGGACTTGATGAGCCTCATTTTTGAGAGGTTCATGGACAGGTGTCACATTCTTATTCGCCTGGGTAAAAAAATTGTCGGGAAACAATTTTCTCATTCTCGACCACCATCTCTCATTTTCTCTCCTTCGTGTTCTCTTCACCACCGGCGATTTCCACATATTCAACCCAGAATCGGCGAGACCTGCGCTTTCGACACCGGCGAGATCAATTTCGGTTTATCGATTCGCGTCTTTGAAGGTAATCTCTCTGCTTTATTTATTTGTTATAGAATTTGGGTCTGCGTGGTTGAAATTAGGGTTTGCTAATTTGGGGAAAATTTGGGGAAAATTGGTAGGAATCAAAGTAGGTTGATTGAATGAGTTTAGTGTGTGTGTGAGTTATTGTTATACGATTTCTGTAGCATATTTCGATCCGGGTTTTGTATATCATTTGTCTTATGTATAAAAAAGATACAATCAATTTGAATGAGTTTAGTTTGGGGCTCTGCTTTGATTCGTCGTATGAATATGATTGTCTTTAGCATTTTTTGATTCATATGTGGTGAAGCATTCATCTGTTAATTGTTCTCTTTAGTTTGGATATTTTTCGATTGGATATTTTTTGTTTTCGGGAATTGTTAATTGTTCTCTTTAGTTTAATTGGTTTTGTTTACTCATCTCTTCTACTCGTCTGTTCTGTTCATGGAGTATGTACTCGTTTGTTTGCTCATCTCTTCTACTCATTGCTTCATTTATGATCGAGTTAGGGTTTGATGTGTGATTGAAATCTTCTATAGTTAGCTTATAGTTAGTTTTACTTTTAAGAACTCTGCGTGAATGGCTTAGTGATGAATGCTGGTTTACTTTAGTTGGTAAACGTCTGGTGATGCCTGATAAAGAGCTTTTATGATCGAGTTAGGGTGTGATGTGTGACTGAAATGGTTTACTTATTTTGGTGATTTTCTATGAGGACCTTATATGTTTTTTTTTTCTTTTTGCATGATTTAATGGAGGAACTTTCGTGATATGGATGGTTATACAAGGTGGAGGTTTTAAAGCTCTGTCACCAATCAAACTCCTCATAAGGTCAGCCCTCTTCTATAGTTAGATTTAAGATTGTTTTACTAGTCTGCGTGAATGGCTTAGTGATGAGTGTTGGTTTACTTTAGTTGGTAAACGTCTGGTGATCCCTTATAGACAGCTTTTAATATGAAGTAATACAGTTGGCAAAGTAGTTAACGAGTAAACACAATAGTACATTTTGTTGGTGAATAGTTATGGTGATTGCTTTAACTTCTTTAACTCATAAAAACTTTTAAAAACTTTTAAAAATATTGAATAACAAACTTAAACCAACTATAAACTTGTTAGCTTTGCTACTGAAAAAACAAATCACTCTAAACACATGTCTTTTACTCTTAAAACAACACTACTCTTTAGAACGATTCACTAACCAATTCTCCAAAACTTTTTTTCCTTTCTTCCTCTTTCGATTCAGTAACCACTTCTCCAAACCTTATTATTCATTCGATTCAGAAAGCACTTCTCCAAACTTTCTTCCTCTTTCAATTCTCTAAACCCGAAGCCAACCATATGGATTCACCTACTTCATTTGTAAACCTCCTAACCTCACAACAAGACAAATCTTACACTTTTCCTGAAACAATTGACCTTGGATCATCAGAAATCCCTCGGTTTAGTAGCCAGGGTTCTGATGATCCAAACTTAACTGGTGAAGATGGAAACCGAAGTGGACACCGAAGGAGGCTTTGGACACCGAAGGAGGACGTGGTGCTCATCTCTGCGTGGTTGAACACCAGCAAAGACCCCGTGGTGGGTAATGAGCAAAAAGCCGGTGCTTTTTGGTTTAGGATACAAGAGTATTTCAATAATACTCTAGGACTGACTGGGGAAAATTCTAAACCAAAAAGTACTTGCAAGCAACGTTGGGGGAGGCTGAACGATCAGGTCTGCAAATTTGTGGGCTGTTATGAAGCCGCATTGAAGGATCAAAGAAGTGGACAGAGCGAGAATGATATAATGAAGGCTGCACATGATATTTTCTTCAACGATCATGGTGTCAAGTTCACGCTTGATCACGCATGGCGCGAGCTACGCCATGATCAGAAATGGTGCTCTGAGTCTTTAACAAAGGATATTGACAAGGCTAAAAGGAGAAAGACGTGTGAGTCTTCGGATGAGCCATCGACCATCAATCTTGAAGAGGAAGTTCCGGAGGCACGTCCAATCGGTGTCAAGGCTGCGAAAGCCAAGGCTAAGAAGCCAACCGCTGGTAACGAGAAAGGGAAGCCGGTTGTGGATATAGGAGGTATATTGGAAATGAAGGCCAAAGACATGGAGTTGAGGAACAAGTTATCAAACAAGAGGTTACTAGAGTTTCTTCTAGGAAAAAAAGAATCGCTAACTGAGGTAGAAGAGGCTCTAAAGAACAAACTGATAAACGAACTCTTGGAATAACTGAGGTAGAAGAGGCTTTGTGTAATGTTTTAGAATGTTGCTTTATTTAATGGTTGTTTTTTATTTCAGTAGGTGTGTTTTTTTTTTTCTTATTTCAGAACCGATATTGAACTGGCTAACCCGAACCGAAATTGATAAAACCAAACTTTTATCGGACAGTTGCGTGTGAAAAGGATTTGGTTTCCTAAATTTCCTTTTATCGACTCCCGATTTCCTTTTTCGTAAAAAAGGAAAATCAGCATCTGCAAATCGCTTATTTAACACAGTGATTTTTGCAAGTCGTATTATTCTCCTAGACCCTCTTCTTTCGTTTTCGTCTCTACTCTCTAGGGTTTTGGTTCTGTCCTCTCTGAACGTATTTCTTCTCTGTTGGTTCTCGATTGTTTTCTGAAGACAAGATAAAACTTTACTTTCTCAGCGACAATGGAATGTAATAAGGAAGAAGCTCGAAGAGCAATGGATATTGCACAGAGGAAACTCTCCAAGAACGATTACAATGGAGCGAAAAAATTCGTTAACAAGGCTCAAGATATGTATCCAGCGCTCGATGGTCTGAAACAAGTTATGACGATAATAGATGTTTATATCTCTGCATCAAACCAGAGCAACGGAGCCGATTGGTATGGAATCCTCGGTGTAGATCCTTTAGCTGACGATAGAAAATTGAAGAAACAGTACAAGAAGTTGGCTCTTTTGCTTCATCCAGACAAGAACAAGTTTCATGGCGCGGAAGGCGCGTTTGTTCTGGTTTCAGATGCTTTTTTTCTGTTATCTGATCATTCTAAGAGAATGGCGTATGATCAAACGAGGAAATCGAAAGAATATGGACAAAAGGCGAGAGATCATGCTTCTTATTCAAGCGCAAAGGATCCACGAAGATGGTTTGATGACCTAAAAGTGAGAGATGCTTATTCAACTTCTGAATCTGATAGCGCAAAGGAGTTTCGAGAATGGTTTGAGAAACAGAAAGTAAAAGATGCTTCTCGTTCGACTTGTTCTGCTTCTGATAACGCAAAGAAGGATCCACGAGAATGGTTTGATGAAGTAAAAGTGAGACATGCTTCAACTTCTGAATCTGATAGCACGAAGGAGTTTCGAGAATGGTTCGATAAACAAAAAGTAAAAGATGCTTCTTCTTCAACTTCTGTATCTTATAGCGCAAAGAAGGATCCACGAGGATGGTTTGATGACGTAAAAGTGAGAGATGCTTCAACCTCTGAATCTGATAGCGCAAAGGAGTTCAGAGAATGGTTTGATAAACAAAAACTAAGAGATGCTTCTTGTTCGACTTCTTGTGCTTCTGATAACGCAAAGAAGGATCCACGAGGATGGTTTGCTGCAGCGACTGCTAGAGTAAATGAAAAAGAAGAAGCAGAGAGGCTTAGCAAGAAACCAACAGGAAACGCAAACTCTACTTTCGAAGCACAAAGGATTTTCAAGATTTAGGAAAGAGTAAATGCAAACTCTACCTCTGAAGCAGAGAGGTTATTCAAGAGGCGAATGCGATATGTGATATAGTATTTCCTTTTATTGTTTCGTTGTTTTTGTTTAATCTATATGTGTTCGTTTTTAGTAGATGAATGTATAATTAAGTGGTTTCACTTATCATATATTGTGTCACTTTGCAAGTAGAAACTTTGCAAGTAAGAAATAACAATATGTATTTTGGACAGACTAATCGTGTGAAAAGTAACATTTTTGAAAGATGTCAAGCTGAGATTGGAAATGTAATTGTTTTTTGTTTATTAACTGCGTAAATTCACCATCTTCAGTTAAAGTATAGGTGGTCTTTTGAGATATAGGGTAGGTTTTGGTCTGTTAGAAATTCTATAATTTGATATGTTGCAGTCAGTTAAAAGGGATCTTGTATGACTGTCTTTAACAGGAGCGAAATGAGTTATGATTCTGATCCATCCAATATGAATATCTTATATCTCTACTCACAACAATAACATCATAACTTTATCAATCAAGCAACTACCATTTTATTAAATTTAACACAAGAGATATAGATTCTTGATTTGATGAAGAAATTCTTGAAGACTCTATCGAATAAGGGAAAAACTGAAATTTGCAACCTTAATCAGAGAAGACTAGAGAGAGATAGAATCAAATGCAGACTGAAATTGTTGAAAGAAATGGTGAGATTAAACAAATGCAGAGATCATCAATATACACTCACCTACGCTTCGAAAGAGAATAGAAGCAAAAAAAGGTACTGTTACAATATTGAACGTAAACCACTCAAAGCAAAAAGAGAAGAAGCAAGAAAAAGAATCCTCTAATTCTATGTACAACAACAACACAAGAGCTAAGAATATCTACACATTTCATAACTTAGTTTAACAGTAGCCATTATTTAAATATAACATAAATGAATATATAACAGAGAGAGAAGAGACAATGAGACCCACTAGAAACTTGTAGGCAATGTTTAAAGACAATACTACTTCAGTATTTAAAAAGTAAAAGACAATGTTACATGCAACTAACTCACAAGCCAAAGCAAAGACGCAAATGTGTTGATAGAAATTGAACAAGAAAGTAAACTAAATACATCTCTCCAACGTTCACAAATACATAACCCAATGATATTAACCACAAGTACACAACGAATGCAGCCAAAGCAAATGATGTGGATGAGCAAGCATCGAGCAAAACAATCCAAACAATACACATAAAAGAGAAGGCAGAACAATTCGCCACAAAGACATAAACCCCAATGATACTATCCACAAATGCAGCCAGAGCAAATGATGTGGTTGAGTAAGCATCGAACAAAACAATTCCAACGATTTGACAGTATTGAATATACATTAACACAAAAGGAAAAGAATTTACCTGCAAAGATGATTATCGCTAATTGCATTATTGTTAAGTATCATTAAGACAGAACCCAAAGCAACCAAACGAAACGAAGACAATTCATATTAGGAAGAAGAAGAAGAAGAAACATCTTCAAATAGGTAATACCAAATCCACACAAGTCATTACAATAAACAGATCTCGTTCATCATAAATTTCTGAGAATCACATATGAATCTAGCGAAAAAAGCAAACCCTAAAAGGTAGTAGATTAATAGAAGATGAGGATAAAACGAAGAAGAGAGAGTAACAACACCAAATCTTTTTAAGCCTCACTCTTCACTGATTCAGGAGCATCATCGTCTTTCGAAACCTCGGTCTTCGCATCCTCCGTCGAATCCGTTACATTTCCGGCGTTGGACGCAGCAGATCGATCCTTCACGGAATCAAGCATCCGCTTGCTAATCTCCTTGGAGTAAACCTCAAGGATCTTGATCCCATCGTCGTCGCTCGACACGGCGTTCGATGCGACGCCGTATGCTTCCTCCTCGATGGATCTCGCGACGGAGGACGCCTCGTCGGCGGTGAGCGTTCCGTATCTCTTGGAGAGGATTGATTCGGTGGATAACGTCTCGATCAGGCGGTTCAAGACGGCGTCGCGAGTTTTCTGAGTCGGCGGCCAAATGCGAAGCGAGAAGCCTCCTCCTCCTCCTGATGATTTAGTTTCTGTAGCGACGGGTTCTTCTTTCTTCAGATCTACGGATTTTGAGGTTTCCTCAGATGTGTGGTCTGCCGTCGCGGAAGGCAATGTGGTGGTGGAGCCCTCGGATTCCGGCGGCGGTGAGACGGTGGTGTTGATTGTTTCGGCGGTTTCTGCCATTTTTGTTTGAAGTGAATTTTAGGGATTTCTGTTTCCAGAGAATTGTTTGGTTGGTGATAAGAGGAAAAAGATCAATTATGACGTTAAGTCTTTTAAACTCAAAGACATTGTTTGGTACTTTGGTTGGTTATGTGTAAATACCCCAAATACGTTAAATATTTTTAATATTAATATTGCATTATACTTTATAACTTAGATTTAACTTACGCTGATATATTTTGAATTAATTGATTTACATCATATATATTATAAGCAATATAAAATTTTGAGCTAAAGCTCTTTCATTCATTTTTAGGGTGGTTAATTACCTTTTACCCCTCCTTATATTTTTTAAAATTAAATTTAATAAAAAATTATTAAAAATCGTAAATTAATTAAAAAATTATTAAAAATCGTAAATTAAATAAAATATTAAAAATCATAAATTAATAAAAAATTGTTAAAAATCAAAATTTAATAAACAAACATTTAAATTTAATAAAAAATATTAAAAATCGAAATTTAATCAAAAAATATTTAAAATAGAAAATAACAAAAATTTAAAAATTGGAATTTAATCAAAAAAACATTTAAAATCATATCATATATAATATATGCGAAGTAAATTTTTCGCTATAAGGTCTCTCATTCAATCTTGATAATTAATTCCCCTTTATTCGTTAATAAAATCTTTTTTGAATATCCTTAACTAATTTATTTATTTTCGTAGTTTGTATAACAATTTTGCTGCCAATTTTAGTTATTTTGATAATATTAAGATAATTTCAATCGAATTATCTGTTGAGCAAGATTATCTAGAAAAAAATATACATGTGATGTGGGAAATCTTAGCTTAAGTTGAGAGCTATATATAAATATATTACTTTTTTAAATGTATCTTAAGCTCAATTGTGGTTTGGTTTCTACATTGGTCGGTTTTTCGATGTATTGTTACCATCTTTATTTTTTATAAATCTTTTTTCCGTTTTTTCTATTGTTTTTTCCGTTTTTCAGTACCAGTAGTAGTGTTCCTCGATTATATGTTGTTGTTTTGTGTTTTCAGTTATTCTTCCGTACTTAACGTGATTAAAACCATGTCAACATATCATAAAACATTTTCATTGTCTAATGAACAGGTTTTAAGTCTTTTGTTTTTTTTTTTTGTTTTAAGTATGGCTTTCTGAATTCTGTTTATTTTTGGAATAATGTAAGAGAAGCCAAATACACTAGCAGGACGCAGAGGAAAAATTCGAAAAAGAAAACAGAGAAAGAAAAAAAGGGAAAAACAAAGTAGAAAAAGAAGAGAAAAAAATAAATTGAAACATATAGAAGAACATAGAGTTAACGAAAACGTAAAAAAAATGAGGAACAAATGAACAAAAAGTCCTAGACCATGAACGATAAGATCAAGATGGGTAACACAAAATAGTGAAGAAGAAAAATGATAAGGAGATGAAGAACTCAAAGTTGAAGAAGAAAACTGAAAGAAAAAGAAGAACAAAAATGGTAGATGAAGAAAATAAAGTATAAGAAGATGAAAATCCGACGATGAAAAAGAAAATAAAAAAGAAGAAAGTAAAGATGCGAAAAAGACAAACAAAAATTAGAAAGAAAAAATGTTTGGATAGGACAAAAATGATCAAGAAGAAGTAAAAAGCAGAAGATAAAAACGGCTAATAAAACCAAAAGAAGAATAGTAGAAGATGTTGAAGAATAAGAATTTAGAGAAGACAAAGACAATAAAATAAAACAAAGAAGAAGGGGCAGATAAATAAAACAAAAAAATCAACAGAAA